ATATATATATATATATAAAAGGCCTCATAATTAAAAATTTTTCTTCCTCAATTTAATCATAGTACCTCGTTAAATAAATCAACTGCGCTAGGAAAATGGGATACAAACAATCAATGCCTTCCTAATGTCCCTTACTACCTTACCTCTCTAGTTGACTAGTCACACTACCACTAATTTAAATCATTAATAATCACTAACTATGCTACAAATATCAAACCGGCTCAACCGGTTGGTTGGTTGGTTGACCTATACTACACGTAATCTATAACCTATTCCACTTTTCATTTTTCAATTTTCAATTTTCAATTTTCACCCTAGAAAAAATCAGCAGCTCGGGACCAGTTGAGTCCGGTTCGAGCCGGTAACCGGTTCAGCCATCTCCTTTCTGCGCCTCATCTCCAACACTTTACGATGACTATTGGAGTGAATATCTCCGGAGAAAGTTGGGCTACAGGCCGGTCTATACTCCGGAAAAAGCCGACCGGACTTGAACCGAACCCCGCAAGCGTTGCAGAGTGTTTTCGGGCCCAGTGGGCCGGTCCTCCACTGCGGCGTTTTCTGCACCTGACAGTGGCTGCACCGTCGCTGAAACTGGGCCCCACCGGTTTGGGCCTCGGCCCTTTTCTTCTGCTTTTTAGCCGCCGGCTCGCCAAACACCATGCCCCTGACAGAGCCAACCAAAGCCGAAGAACACAAAAACGGCGGCGGGAGCGAGGCGTTAAAGGACAACACACGGTCGTTGGGCTTTCTAATCGTTCCGGTTCTCGGCTTTCTGGGGATGGCTGAGGGGGTTTGGGCTTGGGCTTGGTCCGGGACCGGTGTAGGTTCCGGTTCGGCCCATTTCCTCGTTTGCTCCGAACGGACAGGGTACAATAAGGAAAGCTCCGGGAGAGAATCGTCTACGAAGTGAGAGACCCACTCCAGGTCCGCCACGTCATCCGCCTGCAAAATTAAACCCAAACGAACATTAATTTAATTATTTACGAAAATTTAAAAAAAAAATTGAATAACTGAATACTCACCGGAACTGACAACTCGCCGGCGAAAACGGAGTCGTCACCGCCTCCGGCGGTGGAATTAGAGTTGCTGTCATCTTCTGTTGGGTCCTGCGACTGCGAAGAACCGGAGGTGGAATCTTTTTCCTCGTCTTCCTCGTTCTCGTAGTTATCGATTTCTTTGGAAAAATCGAGGAGGTCGTCGACGGAGAAATCTTCACCGACAACAATGTTGTTGGCGTTGAAGCACAAAATATCGTCGCAAATTGCTTGGGAGAAAACAGACTCAGTCCTAAGGCTTGGTTTAAGCGCTTTCGCCGCCGCAACTTCCATTTTTCTTGTTCCTACAGAACTCAAATATGTTAAACGGTGTCAGTTTAATGTTTTTGACGCGAACACGAAGGTTTTCGGAGATTTAATAATTTTTTACTTACCGGTTACGAGGTGAAGAGAGAGAGAGAAGAAAGGGAAACCGCAGTGGAGTTTCGTTTGGTTTGGCGAAAGAAGCGTTAAGGTATCGGTTTATCTTTATCTCACTTCGGTTTCTACAAGTCTGAATCAATTTTGCTTTTAAATATGGCACTACTAAAATTTCCTCGAGGGTCATGCACTAAGGGCGTGACATTTGGTCTGGTGGTGGGGTTTCACTATAATTGGTGTCTTTTTTATTTAAATTTATTTATTTGTTTTTGGAATGGAGGAAAAGTATCTATGATGGCTCTGTAAATTCATAAACAATGCTAAACGCTAAAGTCACACTCACATGCCGGTTTTGACTATTATATGAACGCCTGGGTTGGACCGAGTGTGTGATTAAAATGATGAAATCACAGTTTGGCGCTAGCGGTTTTCGAAAATTAAAAAAAGAAAAAAGAAAAAAAAAAAGATGTCTGAATTCCATAATGTAATAACCAGGAAATGCGTTTGGGCACTAACTACAACTTTTCACTTTCAGTGTTGAAATTTGAATATAAAGGGAAACGAAACTCACAAATGGAGATTAGTAAAGCTTTGGTTGGCAGCGTTAATCGCGCCTCGTGATGTGGCAATTTTTGGATTATTTTTCCCGCTATTCTCTTTTCTTTTCTAATTCTCCAATCATGCCAATGTAGGGACGATAAATAATTGTGTAAATTAGACAAATTAAATTATTAATTATCAATACATTATTATTTTATATTGAATTATAAAATAAATTGTATGGTTGTTTTATTTATTCATTACTGTTTGATTTAAACTTTTTGATTTACACAAATGAAAGTTACACTAATTTTATATGTAAAGAATTGTGGTGACCAGGTAAGATATTAATCATATTATTCTCTGTTTGGCACACGAAGGTTATAGAAAAAAAAAACAACAATTTCATTATATCCTTGTTCAAATTGTTAAACTTTTATAATATTTTATAATTGAAATGATAAATAACTATAATTAAAATTGTAAATAAATAACAATAAAAAAATTTATAAAGTTGTTAAGTAATGTAAAAATATCAAATCATTGTTAATGTGAATTTATCCCATATACAAGAGCATGCCATATATTTTATTTTCACTAATTTTTGTAATTTTTAAAATAAAATATTAAAATAATGCAACATCTTTTATAATTATATGAAATACATGAAATGAAAAGGTAAAAGTAATAAATAAATCAAACAAACCCTTGATAATATTATATTCATTCATAATTTTTATAATAATTAATTACGTTTGAGAGATTTTTTTTATAAACTTGCTAAGATTATTCAACCTCTATTTTGTTTAATGTGTAGAAGGAGTTTATAATAATAAAAAAATAAAAGGTTAATAACTCGTTGACAAGTTTTCCAAATTATACAAGTAGTCGATAATAAATAAGATATCATTTTATAGATATTTGGCACTCTGACTAAATACTTAACACTTGATATATTTTTTACTATCTAAATTATGTAATTTTTTATTTATTTTAATATATTATGATTATGTTGGTAAATATTTATTGTTGTCATCCAAATTTAACATTAAAATCACTAAATTTAATAATTTTTGACTACGATGCATGCCTTGATTCTAGAAAGTTAGCCATTGGTTTCTCAATATTCCTTTGGTCATTCCCTCATTTCATAAAAGTCTAAGAAACAATCAATGGTCAATATCATTTTTTAAAAGCTTAACACAAGGCCTTGTGCCACTACCACTTGTGAAGTCCAATGGATCATTATCTACTTAATACAAGATCTTCACCAGTCCACGCCTTATTTACCACATTTCCTTTGTTATAATAATCAATATATATGAATTATAGAATTTTTATTGTTTCAAATAAGTAACTTTTAGTTTATAGAAAACTTGATTACTTTATTATTTCATTTGTTTGAATTTTTTTTTAATTTTTACGAGTAAAAATTACAATGGAAGGGGAAAAAAAAAAGAGGAAAGTTTGTTCTTCTTTTATAGATTTCTAAATCTGTCCCTGATTAAATATATAGGGACCAACTTGCAAGGAAATCATAGTCGATACTAGCAGTCAACCTTTTTCGTTGAGATTTTTTTTTTTGTCATGGTAATTATGATAGTTTGATTCTATCAGTCTCTCTTTGTTGGATTTTTATTATAAGCTTTAGTTGAACTTTCTGTCAAGTATATATATGTATCTTTACATACATTGAATAAACTATAATACCTTTATCGAAATTCTAATACTTTGCGAGAACAATTTCAAAAGACTCGAGCAATATAAACAAATTATTTTGTCTTTCATGTGCAGCAAATGATGACAAGGAGGGAATGATGAGTGAATACCATTGATGAATACCTTCTACATGCCTACATGGGTTGTCTTTTGGTGCGTAGCCTATACTTTGTATTGAGAGCAAAAGCTATTCACTCACATATGGCCCATGGTTTTGTCCTCTCTCAACTTTAATCACTTTATGGTCCTCCACTTCATATTTTGTTCACTAACATAATTTTTTTTTAAGAATCGTCTGAGTAGTGTTTTAAATTTGATAATTAAAAATTAATTTGTATTCATATACATGACCTCATTATTTTAACATTAACATAATTTCTATTGATTAAATATGAAATAAGTATTTACTTTTACATATTATGCTTTTTTATATCATAAATTTCAATATTCGTTATTGAAAAAAAGTTTTTTTTTTAATTATTTTATAGTAAATTACACAACTTTACATGTATTGAGTATTTTATGTTATATATATTTATCTTAAATACTATTATTTAAATTTAACACTGTCAGTTTAAATTTAAAATATTGACAAATTATGTCAAAATAAAGAAATATAACTTTTACACAAATTGGTTTTTAATGTTATTATAATCTTAGTCAATTTTAATTTAATTTTAAATTTTTTTTATTGTCATATTATGTAAAATTAATACAGATAGAAATGAATAAAAAATGTTGTGATTTAATTCGATAGTTTATTTTTATATTTTTCTTAGTTTTAAAAGTTTTATCTTTTTACATTAATTGTGTATAATAAAATAGGATATTTGTTATATAATAATAATAAGATAATAATTATTAAGTTTTTCAACTAAAAAGCAGCAAGTTTAAGTAAATTTTACATATAAAATTAAGTATCACTCCTTATTTCTCTTTTAAGTAATACAAATATCATATTTTGAAATATATATATATATATATATATATATATATATATATATATATATATGATGAGGGGTCATTTTACTTCGGGAGTAAGTCTGTTTAATAATTCATGTTTTATATCAAATTTCAACGATTCGACTGTTCAATTTAAAGTTCTTAGTGTATGGATCAAATCTGCAAATTTTTATAAAATTTGTAAATTATTTGATACTTTGTTTCATTAATTCGAATCAATGTATAAAATAATTTTATGATTATCCGTTAATTTGAATTAATGTAATGAAATATCAAATAATTTTTAAAATTTCTAAAATTTGCAAATTTGATCTATGCATTAAAAACTTTAAATTTAACGGTTGAATTGTTGAATAGAATATGAGTTATTGAACGGAGTAAGTCTAGGTAAACTTACTCTAATAGTAAAATGATCTCTTTTCTCTCTCTCTCTATATATATATTCTAAATATAAAATATCATAATTTAAGTAGTATTGAAATTATACATCTTAAAGACAAATAAAGTATAATATTTAAATTTAAATCTTATTTAAAATAATAATTTTTTTTATGTATTGTGTTTAATCAGACCATCCAAAGATGATGAGACCAATAAAATCATCACTTCAAGTTCCCTTCATTATATATTAATATGTATATAATATTTTTAAAATTTCACAACTTAAAGTCATTTTTATATTAAAAATTTACTTTAAAGAGTTTATATTTAAAAGATATATAAATATAATTTTTTTTTCAAATTTCATCCCTAAAATATTTTTCTTTTTATTAAAAAATATTATCATTGATTTTAATTAAGTTTTATTCTAAAATTTATTTTAAATTTAATAATATGTTGAACAAACATGTTTAGAGAGATTTGCTTCATTAAAATGAACTAATTATTTTTCCTTATAATATATTGATCTTGAAGTTGTTACTCAAAATTCGTGAGTTAATGCAGTCAGCCAGGATTTAAGTCGAGTTAGATAAATTTTGACTAATTTCAGTTATAATTTTTTTTACCCAATTTACTTATCATACTTTTTATTTTTTTATTATTTTATTTTATTTTTTAATTCTCAAATATTAATTTATGTAATTATATATTTATACAATTAACTAAATTTGTATATATTAAGTATTAACTGTGAATTATGATAATAAATATCAATTTGATATTATTTATTAATATTTTATACAATAATTTGATATTATAAATTGATTAAGTTAATTATAGATAATATCTATTTTTAATATTTTATTTATGTTATTATTAATATAATTATAATTCTAAAATATAAAATTATAATATATATTTTTATAAAGTTCAATAAATTTTTAAATATTTTTTAATTAAGATAAGTCAATCCGTTTAATCACTGACATTGCATTGGACTGATAAAGCACGATGCTCACTTTGAGAGGTCTAGTTGATCTAAATTCCGCGGACGGTGGCCATGGAGGGATATTACAAACACGTACCACATGTCTATTGGTCTATATCATTTCAAATCTATGTATGAATCTACAAAGCCAACACTTGTACGCGGATGCTTTGTATCTTTCAATCCTGTTAATTTACATCAAACTACTTGAGATACTTCATACCCTTATAACTAAACATAAATAAAATATTAAAAGGTTAAAAATAATTATTTTAAAAAATATAACATTTTTTGTTTATATTCAAACGATATAATAATCTACTAAAAAAATAGAGATAAAAAAATTATATAATTCAATATTTTTAAAAAATAATAGATATTGACTATGCAGTCAATATTTCTTATTTATAAAAAGGTATATTATTTTTATAATTATTGTTGGATATATTTTAACATTTTTACTTTAAAAAATAATTTTAAAATTTTACTTCTTAATGTAACTGACTGACTTATGGCTAACTAACTAATTACAGTCTTTCTATCTGTGGACCGAGTAATTGCA